AACCACACGTCTTACTTGCGATACATCCTATCATGTCTTGTTAAACTGTCTATCTTGTAAGACCACCTGTCTATCTTGTGAGACACCTGTCTTACTTGTGAGACTTACCTTTCTTTCTAGCCCACCGATATTGTCTTGTAAGACCGCCTGTCTTGTAAGACCATCTGTCTATCTTGTGAGACACCTGTCTTACTTGTGAGACTTACCTTTCTTACTAGACCACCGATCTTGTCTAGTTAGATCGCCAGTCTTGTAAGACCACCTGTCTATCTTGTAAGATCACCTGTCTATCTTGTAAGACACCTGTCTTACTTGTGAGACTTACTTTTCTTACTAGACCACCGATATTGTCTTGTTAGATCGCCTGTCTTGTAAGACCACCTATCCTGCTAGACATCTATGCCGTGAGACAAACTGTATTGTGAAAATACCGGTCCTCGGACATCACCATTCTAGAGAAACCTTTTATAGATAAACAACGATATTATTGTAACTAAATGCACCTGAAAGCACCAATCATTATCTGTAACCAAACTCAAACATACAAATGACTTTGATCATTCCCTATGTCTAACACCTTGCCTGTCTCTATGCTTAAATCCCAATTTCACGACTGGACCTTAGCCAAGCATGCAAGTAAATTAACAACATCACTCCTTCCCGAGGACTCCGCCTCCACCTCTTCAAATTATCCAAGGCTGATGCATTAAACAGGCCCCGACCTTTAGGTACTAGTTCTCTAAAATACCCTAGAAGTTAGCTATTAAAACAAGAAGCGACACAATTATTTAGGTTTGTATTATCAGGAACGTCCCTGGTATTATACACTATATACAAACGCTATAAAACCCTCTAGTATGAAATGCTGTTCATGTGGAAAAAAAACTGGACAAACCATAGCGTACTTTTGACGCGATAACTCCTAACGAGCTAATTGATAACTAAAACACTATTTTTAAAGTGTTAATATTCTATCGCATCAAATGATATTGTGTAAAATATTAAACATTGGTCCATCTAATTATATCACCTAGCGTTCGAATATTTCCCCCTCCCCCAGAAACATTGTTACATACCCCTATATACTTCAACCTCCCCCTCCCCCAGAAACATTGTTACATACCCCTATATACTTCACCCTCCCCCCTAAAAAACATTGTTACATACCACTATATACTTCACCCTCCTCCTCCCCAAAAACATTGTTATATACCCCTATATACTTCACCCTCCCCCAGAAACATTGTTACATACCCCTATATACCCCTCCCCCAGAAACATTGTTACATACCCCTATATACCCCTATATACCCCTTCACCCTCCCCCAGAAACATTGTTACATACCCCTATATACCTCACCCTCCCCCAGAAACATTGTTACATACCCCTATATACTTCACCCTCCCCCAGAAACATTGTTACATACCCCTATATACTTCACCCTCCCCCAGAAACATTGTTACATACCCCTATATACTTCACCCTCCCCTAGAAACATTGTTACATACCCCTATATACTTAACCCTCCCCTAGAAACATTGTTACATACCCCTATATACTTCACCCTCCCCTTCCCCAGAAACATTGTTACATACCCCTATATACTTAACCCTCCCCTAGAAACATTGTTACATACCCCTATATACTTCACCCTCCCCCAGAAACATTGTTACATACCCCTATATACTTCACCCTCCCCCAGAAACATTGTTACATACCCCTATATACTTCAACCTCCCCCAGAAACATTGTTACATACCCCTATATACTTCACCCTCCCCCAGAAACATTGTTACATACCCCTATATACTTCACCCTCCCCCAGAAACATTGTTACATACCCCTATATACTTCACCCTCCCCCAGAAACATTGTTACATACCCCTATATACTTCACCCTCCCCCAGAAACATTGTTACATACCCCTATATACTTCACCCTCCCCCCCCTATATACTTCAGAAACATTGTTACATACCCCTATATACTTCACCCTCCCCCAGAAACATTGTTACATACCCCTATATACTTCACCCTCCCCCAGAAACATTGTTACATACCCCTATATACTTCACCCTCCCCCAGAAACATTGTTACATACCCCTATATACTTCACCCTCCCCCAGAAACATTGTTACATACCCCTATATACTTCACCCTCCTCCTCCCCAAAAACATTGTTATATACCCCTATATACTTCACCCTCCCCCAGATACATTGTTACATACCCATATATACTTCAACCTCCCCCAGAAACATTGTTACATACCCCTATATACTTCACCCTCCCCTTCCCCAGAAACATTGTTACATACCCCTATATACTTCAACCTCCCCCAGAAACATTGTTACATACCCCTATATACTTCACCCTCCCCTTCCCCAGAAACATTGTTACATACCCCTATATACTTCAACCTCCCCCAGAAACATTGTTACATACCCCTATATACTTCACCCTCCCCTTCCCCAGAAACATTGTTACATACCCCTATATACTTCACCCTCCCCCAGAAACATTGTTACATACCCCTATATACTTCACCCTCCCCCAGAAACATTGTTACATACCCCTATATACTTAACCCTCCCCTAGAAACATTGTTACATACCCCTATATACTTCACCCTCCCCTTCCCCAGAAACATTGTTACATACCCCTATATACTTCACCCTCCCCTTCCCCAGAAACATTGTTACATACCCCTATATACTTCACCCTCCCCCAGAAACATTGTTACATACCCCTATATACTTCACACTCCACCAGACACATTGTTACATACCCCTATATACTTCACCCTCCCCCAGAAACATTGTTACATACCCCTTTATACTTCACCCTCCCCCAGAAACATTGTTACATACCCGTATATACTTCACCCTCCCCCAGAAACATTGTTACATACCCCTATATACTTCACCCTCCCCAGAAACATTGTTACATACCCCTATATACTTCACCCTCCCCCAGAAACATTGTTACATACCCCTATATACTTCACCCTCCCCCAGAAACATTGTTACATACCCCTATATACTTCACCCTCCCCCAGAAACATTGTTACATACCCCTATATACTTCACCCTCCCCAGAAACATAGAAACATTGTTACATACCCCTATATACTTAACCCTTCCCTAGAAACATTGTTACTTACCCCTATATACTTCACCCTCCCCTAGAAACATTGTTACATATCCCTATATACTTCACCCTCCCCCAGAAACATTGTTACATACCCCTATATACTTCACCCTCCCCTAGAAACATTGTTACATACCCCTATATACTTCACCTTCCCCTAGAAACATTGTTACATACCCCTATATACTTCACCCTCCCCTAGAAACATTGTTACATACCCCTATATACTTCACCCTCCCCCAGAAACATTGTTACATACCCCTATATACTTCACCCTCCCCTTCCCCAGAAACATTGTTACATACCCCTATATACTTCACCCTCCCCCAGAAACATTGTTACATACCCCTATATACTTCACCCTCCCCCAGAAACATTGTTACATACCCCTATATACTTCACCCTCCCCCACCATACCCCTATATACTTCACCCAGAAACATTGTTACATACCCCTATATACTTCACCCTCCCCCAGAAACATTGTTACATACCCCTATATACTTAACCCTCCCCCAGAAACATTGTTACATACCCCTATATACTTCACCCTCCCTCAGAAACATTGTTACATACCCCTATATACTTCACCCTCCCCCAGAAACATTGTTACCTACCCCTATATACTTCACCCTCCCCTCCCCCAGAAACATTGTTACATACCCCTATATACTTCACCCTCCCCTTCCCCAGAAACATTGTTACATACCCCTATATACTTCACCCTCCCCCAGAAACATTGTTACATACCCCTATATACTTCACCCTCCCCCAGAAACATTGTTACATACCCCTATATACTTCACCCTCCCCCATAACTTTTGTTACATACCCCTATATACTTCACCCTCCCCCAGAAACATTGTTACATACCCCTATATACTTCACCCTCCCCCAGAAACATTGTTACATACCCCTATATACTTCACCCTCCCCTCTCCCCCAGAAACATTGTTACATACCCCTATATACTTCACCCTCCCCCAGAAACATTGTTACATACCCCTATATACTTCACTCTCCCTCTCCCCCAGAAACATTGTTACATACCCCTATATACTTCACCCTCCCCCTATATACTTCACCCTCCCCAGAAACATACCCCTATATACTTCACCCTCCCCTAGAAACATTGTTACATACCCCTATATACTTAGCCCTTCCCTAGAAACATTGTTACATACCCCTATATACTTAACCCTTCCCTAGAAACATTGTTACTTACCCCTATATACTTCACCCTCCCCTAGAAACATTGTTACATACCCCTATATACTTCACCCTCCCCTAGAAACATTGTTACATACCCCTATATACTTCACCCTCCCCCAGAAACATTGTTACATACCCCTATATACTTCACCCTCCCCCAGAAACATTGTTACATACCCCTATATACTTCACCCTCCCCCAGAAACATTGTTACATACCCCTATATACTTCCCCCTCTCCCAGAAACATTGTTACATACCCCTATATACTTAACCCTCCCCTAGAAACATTGTTACATACCCCTATATACTTCAACCTCCCCTTCCCCAGAAACATTGTTACATACCCCTATATACTTCACCCTCCCCCAGAAACATTGTTACACCCTATATACTTCACCCTCCCCTTCCCCAGAAACATTGTTACATACCCCTATATACTTCACCCTCCCCCAGAAACATTGTTACATACCCCTATATACTTCACCCTCCCCTTCCCCAGAAACATTGTTACATACCCCTATATACTTCACCCTCCCCCAGAAACATTGTTACATACCCCTATATACTTAACCCTCCCCTAGAAACATTGTTACATACCCCTATATACTTCACCCTCCCCCAGAAACATTGTTAAGGAGTAAACTCAGTAGGACCGTAATGTCTGAACTACCTTTGGCCAGAATCCTTCATTTTAATGTTACCATTGGAAATTCAGAATCATTTCTAACTGAACTCGTTCAAACAACTTTCACTGAATTTTACCATCAGGAACAAGTCTGGAAACTCCTGCATATTTCTTCGAAATGCACTGTCAGACAAACAGCTCAATAACATCTGACTGTCACACCCAATGTCTCTCAGAGAAACTATCCATTGGAAACATCTTTAATTGAATTCTTTAGCTGGGATATCTTCTTGCACCCTACCGTTAGACTCGTTTCCTTCTAATTCCAGTGAACAGATACTTTGCATTGAATTCATCAGAAACACCTTCCATCGGGTTTTCTACCTAATGATCCTCCTTTGGCGGTAATTCAATTATCAGAAATCACTTAATCATATAGTTGGAACGATTTTCGTTTTCAAACCTCCGGAGGAAATCAGCTTACTCAGTATCACAGTCAATCCTCATTCAACTTTGTGGGTCTTTAACAAACCACACCTCGTTGGTTCTGCCAAACATTTGAAATGGACTATTGTAGCCAGCTGTGAACCAAAAGTTCGAATGAACCTTTTCTCCTCTTTCCTCCACAATCCCCGTTAGCGTTTTGGCATGACTCAGCCATGTTTCCTCCTTAGCGAACCCTCCAAATCCTTGACATAGTATGGTTCGTTCTGGCCATTCTTCGATAAAGACTTTTGGGTCACTTGGTTCTGGAGGATCTGCCTGGTGTTTTGATGGGATGTAGAATGACACTGTGAATGTATTTTCACAATTTGGACCAGCCCCGGGATTGATACGAGTGGCAACTGGAGCCGTCATGTCAACTTTAGTGCCTACAATGTAAGTAACATACACAACATTTAATTTTTCAGGCAAGAAACATGGCACATTTAATTTTTCAGGCAAAATACATGGCGCAGTCCTTAGTGGTAAGTGTGGTGTCAGTATGGAGAGATATCTGGAGGGTACTGAGGAGAGAGATGTCAGAGTGTTTTCCGAGACAGGCATTTTGATGAGCAATCAGAAAACCAATTATAAGTTTCTGTGTTTCTTTCTTAGAAGAGTTAAATTTCTTACTGATGTACAGGAAGAATTTCGAACCTTACCTGGTTTATTGTTACCCGTGATGTATTTGAAAAGCCTTCCGAAACCTTCACTCTGTGCTTTCTTGAGTTCCATTCCTTCGACACTAGTACTGACCCACTTGGCAGCCTCGTATCTCCGTTCTTGGACATCATCCTAGAAATAAATCTAATTATAGTAACGACGACCAGATTTAAAACTACTGTATTACCTATTATTACTATTAGTGCCCTCTTTACAATAATAGCAATACATACAAGTCATCGCGGATCTTGAGGACTGTGTCCTTTTCGTAACAGGTAATCATTGTACAGCTACTCTTAAACATGGATAAAGAGGATCTTGCAGGAATTTTCATTACATTTTTGCAAAATCTTGCATGCATTATTACATTCATTTACAAAGACTTGTTTAACTTTAAATTGGTGATTTTATCACTCCATCTCTCTTTCTTGACCCTGCCACATGCATATGATGTCATGAAGATGTGACATCATAACTGAAACAATGAGAAACTTCCGCCAATCATATCCAGGGCTGTATATAGAAAATACATCATCAGTGTCTTAAACTCTAAGTTGTATAATGGCAAGGTTGAAAGTGATGGGACTTTGGCTGGACACCTTTTGTCTTTCAGTCCCGAATGTGGAAATATACCGTAGTTATGAACTTCAACGAATGTAGCAGTAATTTCATGAATTTTTGTTAGTAAATAAAATTGCTTATTCAAACAGTTATTAATATTTTTATATGTAATGTTTTATTTAATCAGATACAAAATACATCAGTTTTCCATCACTGCCAAATACAGCTAAAATACATTTTGTATTTGCGACAGGTGTATTCCGACAATGGTAATACCACTTTAAGGATAAAACATTAAAAGGCAAAGGATGAGGTCCATATATGGTTTTATTGTCCCAAGAAATAATATCAACTGAGGACAAAGTCACATTATAGCTAGGTGAGAATCTACTGACCTGTTTTTTCCCTTCTGTATAAGTAGGGGTTTCCAGTCCACTGGACGAGAATGAACTCTTGATGGTGTTGAGAACATTCATGTCTGGTTCCTTTGATTGTGTGGTGTACGTAAACGCTGACTGGGGTACAGGCAAAACTACAACAAAACAAAATACTCACGGTACTCTCGAAGACCTTGTTGAGCAAAAACTGATTGCAAAAGTGAAATGTTCCATGTCTATACATGTTACTGTTTTACTGGTTATGTTTACCCATCTACTTTTACTGTGGCAACTATTTTACATTTAGAATCAACTCTTAACCAAAGCACTAATTCACAAATAGATGAATTCATTAAGTTCAAGGTCATTTATTTTCGCAAACTTAATCCTAAGTATGATGAAAAAAAATCCACTTTTTACCTTGACCTTGGACCCTCACAACTACGTCGATCTTGCGTCACCTACCATCTAGAATTACTTCAATAATTTTCCTTCAGCGATATATTAAATTATTTACCAAAATCAAGGAAAGGGTCTTTGGACCCATCACCGTCATATCTTCCAGATCGTGAATACTTGGTTCCAAGTCCTCACATCTGGATACTCAAAGATATGCAGGGTGATTCATATAAAAAATTGCACGACTTTGCAGAGACCAATAACAGTCCATTGGAAAGGTTCATAGCGATATTTTTACATATCTGGTTGACAAGTTTTATTGTCTTCTGGGCTTCTTAAGGTCATATTGTCGACGATTCAGGGGTACGTATTGTTGTAATAAATATGCTATGGAGAAGCTCATTAAGAATATAAAACAGATGAGTGATGCAACTGAATTCATATTATGGTTTTACTAAATCTAAATTTGTATGGAAGTTTCATAAGGGCAGCTGTATGATGCAAAAATGCAGGACACACAGTTATATGACCCATTGTTTAATGGGTACAATGTATTAAAAATTCCTGTTTCATCATCAAAATGTAAGTTGTTTGTTAATTATGCACTGTACATGTATTCCTATAACAATCTGTTATATTTTCAATTTAATGAAAAATGTGAAAGTTACAAATGGAACTGATATTTTAATATTATAAGGCACATTTCTGTACTGTATACAGAAATGATGGAATACTATATAGAAAAATTAATCTTTGTGCCGATCTTCCACAGATGAAATCGAACTCTGCCATCACATATAAAAGGTATTCATAAACAGAATATTTACAACAGATTTCTAGATTTTTCATTTGAATTACTACTTTATCATTTTTTAAACTATGTTAGGATTATTTAGGCCACTTTCCGTCTAAAGTGCATTTTGTTATACACCTTCAAAGGTAAATGCATGTAACTACAACCACGAAACTATCTCGATACTTCAGAAACTAAATCCTCATTCAAAGGCCGTCATATCCGTTTCAAGGTCAAATCTGCAGCTATTATCAGTTGTTTTTTATGCAGTTTCCACCCACTTAATGACACACTTGTACTGTGCTTTGGTTGTATTGTTGCTGTAAAGTGGCAGTAATTTAATGATATTAGTTCCATACATTGCCGAGAGATGGGGTACGAGTAAACTTACCAATTTTCAACCAATAAGAAAAGAGTATGAAACAGCAGGACGACAGCAATATGCAGAAGACCTTATAGGTTTCCAGTCCACTGGATGAGAATGTACTCTTGATTGTGTTGAATATATTCATGTCTGGTTTCTTTGTGTGGTGTTAGAGTAATTTGCCTCCATAAAAATCTCTACAATATATTATGGTCTTTATTGGATGCGTTTCCTTCCTTTCTTTCCTTGTCTTTGCAGTAGAAAGTTTGCTTTATTGTGGCAATGCAATACAGGAATTAATCAAATAAAAAAAATTTTAACTAATATCTAAAGAAAAGGTGATATCTATGTCAAAAATCTTTTAAGGGTTTCCATGGTGAACCCACACCTGATATTCATTTATTTAGCACTCAAGAAATAGCAGTTACAAACTTTCAAATACCAAAAGTCCTAATTTAAGCGATTTTCACCGTGACCAATGTAAACGTACATATGAAGATTTCATCTTCTCAATGAAACAAAAATTAACTGTCAAATCCAACATGGTAGCTTGTCGGCAATTTTGTTTCCCTCAACTAGTCCTGTGAAATTGTTGATCTGCAACTGTGTATCAAGAACATGCTTACACTGTATAAAAGATATTCAAGTACTTCAGTCTCTCGAGCTACTTAGAAATAACAAACTTCTGCTCTAAAGTATGGCCGTCTGTTTCATTTGGTGTACACCAATGCCCAAGTGGAAAATGATATGAAACTGGAGAAGGCCCAATCTAATGTCTATGTACATACGGGTTATAAAAACGCCAGATAAAACTGTCCCAGATCAAATGTACACAACTATAGGGACCACACTGAATACTCGAATTTGGAATAAAAGCAACGAAAAATTATACTCTCAAAAATCCAAGGTGGATATATATGTAGCTATAGTTTGATTTTCCAATCAGCCTCATTTAAATTTGAAAATGCACACCGACAACGAGGAGCAAAGCAATGAAATTATGCTCCAACTGTTACCTTTGAAATTTTGTTCCAGTTTCAAAGACCGGTTATCGATAAAAAAAATACCAACATGGCAACATAATCATAATCCAACTCGAAGTCCGTCATGTAAACCTTGGCCAATCCAAGTACAATGTAAGTGATGTCACCTTCTCAAATGAGAAAATGATATACCACAACTAATGAGCATCAAACATGTCCAGTCCTACTTCATATCACACAAGTAGAATATTTCTCAATGAGATCACTATGGTGACCATACTATGTATGTAAACTTCCCCATAATTTCCATCAACATGCATCTTTTGAACTCCCGTGTTACGAGTGTGTCCCTCCTTTGACGATTTGTTATACGAAAGTCGTGATAATGAGAATAGGCCCTTGGATATCTAATCAACTATACTGGTGACATTTAATGATATTCGAAGGATGGAGATGCTGAGATGTTGCATTTTCCATGAAAACGTTCAAAACTGAATTAAACTTGAACACATTTTTTGCTGTTATTTCACAGCTATAGATTTGTTGAAACAAGTCAGATTGATATATTTTGAGCGCTAATTTTGCCTGGAATGTTCCTGTTGTCACTAGACGCTGGTTATACGCTCTAACCTATGAGCAGCCGGGGCCAGATATCTAACAACATATTTTATGACAGTGAACGGACGGATGGCAACCTTAACCACTATTCATATGATGATGATGGACTAAAAATATCAACTTTCTCAGCGAAGATTACAAATATTAATGTGTAGCCTAACACCTTGCAGTTTACATCGCGCACGCCCTAATTTTAGAACAGAATCCGGGGATTTGTTCTATTTATAACCAAAATTCATTTTCAGTCTGAAATGAAAGCCGGTTGTGTTAACAACAGTGTGAATTTACTTACAATTTGATCTGGCCTTGTACTCACTGTAAAATACCCTGCATCTCAAAAGATACTTTAATTTAAACATCAGCAAAAATAAATGTTATACAACCAACCCAAACACGCGTTGAGAAACGTGATGATCATGTGCAGGTTAAAATACGGGAGCTTCCGGTGGACGACTCCATTTTTAAGTTGGTAGTTGTGCTTTGTTATATAAGTAATTTACACGCTCAAATATTTTCTTCCCAGTAAAAATCGATGTCTGAGTTTTAGATATTCTATTTCTTGTCTATTCTTATTTTCCAGTGGTATTCCACACTTTCTTAAAGGTTCAGTTACTACTGTTTATTTACCCTTCTGACCCGCCTCCCCTCTGTAAAGTACTGACCACTGGCGTCGAATCGAAAGTAAACAGTTTAAGATACACGGGAACCAGTCTTACCGAGTCATAGGTTATGCAACCAGGCAAACTAAGGTGATAATACAGATCAACATTGAAAGATTCACACGTAAGTACAGTACCTATCACATTCCTTCAAGATTATAACACTTTGTGCTACATTTGCTAAACAAATGGTTCGAAATTTCAGAGTATCGATATACAAGTTAGAACAACCGCGATCTTCTGCCTATTAAAAAAATCCGAATTTAAGGTTAATGTTAAGCCAGTGTTGACTTAATTTACATCAGGCCATTAGTATGAATCGTGCAACGATGGAAAGAGGCAAAACATTTGTCGATGTTTTAAATTAGTATTTCCACTCATTTTCCTCGGTAACATATTCACATTCCAGCACATTTGCTATCGCCGCCACTACGGAATCCCGCAAATCTTTTAAGTCTACCGAAAAAATGAATTCATGCTTGATGGGCAACAATGATATTGAACACGGCCAAGTTAAGTGTAAAGTTGTGGATAGATAGTAAGATTCCTTTAGACCGGAATACACTTTCTGGTGATCGGTCATTTTTATCCTTTACAGCAGAGACGTGATATATACGTCTCTGTTTTACAGTAATCCAAATTATTCAGACATTTTATCTACTTTCTAACACCAATATGGAGGTGATTGTTACATTCGAAATTGAAATGAAAGCAATATTAAAAAGGAGATGACTGGGAAAATTGGTGAAAATGAAGATAAAAAAATGCAGACAAGCTATGTTGATATCATGTGTTGTTGCCTATATAAAGTGGAGAAATATATATATGCAGGATTGCCTTCTGTATTTTTTTCTGTTGTTTTACTAGGATGAAGCTGTGTATGATTTTGATTGTCGTGGTAACTGGAGTGAGTGCCTTTAGACAGCTAGATAAGAACTCCCTTGACAGCACAAAACTCAAGTTCATTCCTCATGACTTAAAGCCATCGGGGAAGAAAGAAGACTTCTGTAATGGACTTGCTTGTCCGGAATACTCAGTCATGTATAGAAACGAAACCGGGGTTAGTAACAATGGCTGGTTGAAGTTTGATTACATTAAAGGATCCTTGTTGCTGATATTTACAATGTTTATCCTGCAATAAACTCAAAAAGTGAAAATATTAACAGCATATCATTTGTGACATTCATCGACTTACCACTGCTGGTAGATAAAATAGTATAAAATTTTAACAGGTTTGAAAAAAAAAAATTAAGCTTTACTTTAGTATTGATTTTCAGTTTTTAACAATTAACATTGTTTTATTAAATTGTTCATTCATTCTTATTGAATGAAACAAAAGATTTTGACCATATTTCCTAGTGCTAAGCACTTTACATAACATTGTGTAGTTTAGATTGGAAAATATGAACACAGATTGAAGAACTAGCATTATTGTAAATGATTCTTCAACCCAATCAAAACATATTAATATACTTTTCTAAACTTAAACAGAACTTTGAATTGCGCAAGTACAAGGAAACTAAGTGGGTGACAACAGATAGCAGTGGTATGGACTATGATGAGGCTGGCTATAAAAACTTCATGAAGCTCTTTCATTACATTGGGGGTGACAATAAGAAGAGTAAGTTGTTTTAAAATGATGTTAGAAGAAAATTAAAGCAATAGATAAATTAAATTATCAATGTTGTAATTATATTGATTTTGATTTCTTAAAATATTCATTTAGATCCTCAAATAAAGCTGCTTAAATTATGGTGATTTCGTCAGTGATAGCTTGGTTAACCCCAATACTCATTTGATTTGATGAGACTAACCCAGTTGCTATTTTTGTTGTTACAGAAGAAAAAGTGACCATGACATGTCCTGTGATTGTGATGATCACCCCGGGTCCAGGACCAGCATGTTCTTCAAATTTCAATATGTCTTTTTATATAGATCCTAATTCTTCTGATCCTCCTCAACCGTCTGAAAACAACATCTATTTCACCAAAATACCGTCAGTTAGGGCTTATGTCAGGTATGCAACAAATACAGAATAAACTAAAGTTTATGATTCTGTAACAAATGAAGCACATTGTCAAGCATTTAAAACAAATGCTTGGTTATGAGGCAATATGTATATGTTTGCAAAGTCAGAATTAAAGGTTTTTGCAAGAAAAATGTCAGACTTTACAAGATATGCCACATTTTGATGTGCCAATGTAAATATGTAGCAATTAAGCATTCCAAAGTAAAGTTGCAAAAACACCCTAGATGCTCAAATCTTGTTCAGTTACTTCAGTACCAGAGGTCACTGGTGAGTTAATTTATCAGATACTATAGAGCCAACTCCATCAGAAATTTCTTGCCATGTAAACATGGTTAGAGTAGCAAAGAGTGGACCAGTCATTAGTGACATATTTATCAGTTGTTATTTACGATGTGATTCTTGTGTTTCAGAACATTTGGTGGATTTGCTGACTACAACAAGTACAAAGAACAAGGACTTGAACTTATGGATGCCATTGGGGACACATCTCTTTACCACACCGACTTCTATTACACTGCAGGATATGACAGTCCCTTCAAATTTTTCCATCGTCACAATGAGGTCTGGTTCATTGCCAAGTGAACCACTTCAACAATTTGTTCAGTAGCCATATGAACAACTACAACAATGTATTTGTCTTGCTCATGTGAACAAACTAAACATCTTGTGTATTTAATCAGTTACAATTTTTTATTCATGGCCTCTCTATATTAAACAAACAATTAAGGACGGCAACATGGTGCGTTTCTTGAATGATATTTGAAATCCTTGATGAAATGTATTATGAATCTATTTTTTTTACAATTTTAAGCATTCCTTTAAGCTAAACTGTTTGCTTCTGTACATATGGTAAATTTATACTGTGTAGATCTGGTATTACTGCATATGATTGAATCTCACAGTCTCAAATCACAAACATTGGTGTCTCGAACATACAAACTCACTGTCTCAAATCACATACTTTGGAGTCTGAACACACAACCTCACAATCTCAAATCAGGTATTTTAGAGTCTTCAACATACTCTTCAATCTTGAACACGCAATCTCACACTTACACTGGAGTTTTGAACACAATATCACAATCTCAAATCACATACTCAACTGCTGTTTTTAGTAGTATTTGGCAATTTTTATGAGCTGTGAACATTTGTCAAATGTAAAGTTCTATGGTTTGTGTACATGTATGTATACAAGAGGGAAAAACGGTGTTTTGATATTATTGATGTTTGGTTTAATACTTTTCATGTTGTGTACATTTCAGTTATCTAGCCCAAAGGGCATCTTATTATTGTGATAGAAGGAAAAGTTTGCAATGTTTTTGTACATTATTTTCAGATGTTTATTTTTGTGACAAATGTCTGTTCAGCTCTCAGGTTAATCAGTAAAGCATTTAGTAATGAGATTCACTACCACCATTACATCAATATAGAGAATCACATGCCTTTTTTCAATTTTTTGTCATTCTTTACATTTGTGTAAAGAACAAAAAATATATATATTAATTGAATTTGCTTGCAGTGTTATTGAGAAGACATCTTGTATCATGTCAGTATCGATAAGTTTAAACTTCAGTCATTCAATATTCAATAACATGACCTAGTAACCAGCTTTCGTATAGGAAAACTCTTTCTTTTTTTTCTTAATTTAACTTTCAAAAAGTTAAAGTGCCATCAAGATGAAATACAACCTTGTAAATACTAGTACATTGTGTTTAGCATAAGTATTCTGTGACTGAATGTGAAAAAGATGTTATATAATAACATAATATAATTTACTGTATTTACTATAGTACACGTTTTAATATACATTAAACACTGTATGTGCTTTCGACAAGCTTAATTAGAAAATCTGTGGTGAGTTTCATCAATTAAATTGAAACATATTTATGATCCTTTTTATCTAGTGATCAATTTTTCAAGCAAATGTTTTAGAAACTGAACATTCCTTACTCAAAGTCGAAGTGGTGTCTGCTCTATTGTTGTTGTCACTATTGTCATAAAACCATCTGTGGATGTGTAACATCATTTCAGTATCTGAAGTGACTCGGGTGTAATATGGAAAAGTAGACAATGGTGATAAATTATATACGTTGTCATTCAAACATCAATTCATGTGCATCATAAAAAATATAACATTCTATATTTAATATATTAATAAACTATTAAACTGATGTACATTGTTTTTTTTTTTTATCAAATACACTCTCTTTAAAGAAAGCAGATGTTAAATAGAACCAGGCTCTTTCCTATAACAACTCCTTTCTCAGGAGTTTAGACGTTTATTAAGTACAAGTTTTTCACTCATTATAGTCAAGAACTTAATATACATGGATTTTTTTATGCATAATAAATACAAGTTTATTTGTATACCATAATTTGTAGTTTTTTCACAACCCTTGCATTTTTTATTTGACAACTTTTTGTGTATTTTGATTGGAATTAAATGGCTTAACATTGATCTCCGTTTTATTTTGTATGTTTTGTGTCCGCCATGTGCCATTTGACATTTCAAACTTCTTCTCATGTTCCATTAGTGGGATTCAGCTCAAACTTTCATGAAATGATTCTGAGATGGTCCTTACCATGTGTTTTTTTTTTACAAGTATGTCTGAAATACAAGCTGGCCACATCTAAAAAAACATATTTTAAACTTCTTCTCCAGTTCCACTGGTGCCATTGAGCTAAAAATTTGGTGTGGATGTTAAGGAAAGGTAGCCAACAAAGTGATGTTATTTTTCAACCTTGTCAAAACTTGGATACAGCAGTCAGGGAGACCATTTTGTAAAATAATTGCACATTCATGATTTTCCTGTGCAGACTTATTTCAAACTTTTTCTCAGCTTTCACCAGTGGAATTGAGCTCCAACTTTACAGTCAAAAAATAGGTAACACTTGTTACAGTTACTTCTCATCAAAACTACATCATGGAAAACAGCTTCTTAGTAAGATTTCATTCAAAGAGAAAAAACAACCTTTCTCTCTGCTGAAAGTGTTTGTAGTCAGATGACCGTTAAGGCCCAAGGGCCTCTTGTTTATTTTGTTTGTTTTTGTTTGTGTGACCTATATTTTTGCTTCATTTTATTTTGTATGTCTTTGTTGGTGTAAGCTATATTTGTACTTTGTTTTATTTTGTATGTCTTTGTGTGATCTATATTTGTGCTAGTTAAATGGTAAACATAAACTGACCCAAGTAATCTTCAAATAACAGATCAGCCGAGATACTTGGTAAGTCCTTTCAGAAATCAGTCAAATAGTAAAAACAGAGTCTCCATGTTTCAAGTGAAATAATCCAGTGACGAAGAGGAGACGGACATGTGCATAAACTTATCCAATCCTTGTTCCTTTCAAATTGATATTTTCAAAGAGAAATCAATATATTGTTGTATCATCCCTAATCCGACCTTATTGATCTGGGTCAATCCAAGTAATATATTGAAATAAGAACCAAGTTGATAACAATAATGATAGATATGTTGTCACTCTTTTTAATTTGGTCAGGAACAAAGTTCATGCGTAACAAGAACAAATACTACATCTCAATCAGGCTCAGATTGCAATATCTGATTAATACTTGATTTCCTTATGGATAACACAAGAAATCAATTGGTTACCTACTGGGACTGTCCTGTTGATCCTACGGAGTGCATACTTTCAGTGGGGCTGTTCCCCAACCTGAAGGCTGTAACATTCAGTTAAGAGTTTAAAAACAACGTGAAGAGTCTATGTATAACAAACTTTTAAAGGATTGTTCGTCTTTTAAAATATTTTTAAGAATAAACACAAGCAGAATGTAAAGCAAAGGATTCGGAGAGTTTTACAAACCAATCGCTTACCTGACCAAAAGACAGTGAGAGATTATAGAACATCTGACATATTTCACCGACGTCATCATTGCAACTAGAATATAAGCATGGTTTTATGATCGCATGGAGAGATATCATACAGTATAACACAAACAAAACACTACACAAACAAAAAACAAGAAAATCCCATCTCAAATTCAATAAAACTAGGCCAAATATGAACAAAATAAATTTTCTGAAAGATGATACAAAATAATAAGATACTTACTATACTTACTTAGCGATAGTTTCCGGTACAGGACTTTAGTCCTCTTCACCAGACTCCTTTTCCTCGTCCCATTTAAGGTTTGTTTCGCCACTTCCTATCATTTTTATATCCGCTTTGTAATTGTCATATAATAGTTCTTGATCTTTCCAGTATTTATCCAGTCTGTTTTTAAATGTATTTTTCGATGGCGCTGTCACAATTTCTTCAGGTAGGTTATTCCATATCTTTCCTGCTCGAAGTGTGAAGTAGTTTTTCCGTATTTCTGAACTGCTGTGTTGAGGGTATATTTTCATCGAGTTGCCCCTTTGTCCTTGCCTTTCTGTTACATCCTTCCAAAGTTTAATCACATTGCTTGCCCTTGGGTCATAATGCTCGTGGAGTATCTTATATATTTCTAACATGTCCCCTCGGATCCTTCTATATGCTAGTGTTGGAAGTTTCAGCTGACGAAGTCTCTCTGCATAGCTTAGACCTTTCATACAAGGGATCTGTTTTGTTGCTCTTCTTTGCACTCCTTCTATTTTTTCAATATATTTTATTTTATAAGGAGACCAAATTGGACTGGCAAAGTCAAGGTGGGTCCGCACCAGACTCTTATAAAGTGGGGTGAATATTTCTGGATCTAGATGTTGGAATGATCTCCTTATTATTGCAAACATGGAATTCGCTTTCTTTATCTTTTCACAGATATGAACTTCAAATGTTAGATTACTGTCAATTGTTACGCCGATATCTTTCTCCTTGTCCACTATATCTAATGGCTTATTATTGATTTGGTATCTTTGCTCTGGTGTCTGAGTTTTCTTTCTTATGTTCATGTGCTTACATTTGTCTGGATGGAATTTTAGAAGCCAAGTATTGCTCCATTCATACATGGCATCCAGGTCCTCTTGGAGTATTCTGTAATCATCTTCTGTCATTATCATTCTGAAAATTTTGGTATCATCCGCAAAGAGGTATATTTCAGAGTTAACAATATCTGGTAAGTCATTAATAAATAATACAAATAGAACTGGCCCAAGTACTGACCCCTGTGGGATGCCTGATGTTACTTCTGTCCATCTCGAATGCACTCCGTTTATTGATACTCTTTGTTTCCTTTCGTTTAGAAAGTCTTCAGTCCATGCGATCACTTCACTGCTCAAACCGTATGACTTCATTTTACTAATTAATCTTTTGTGTGGCACGGTGTCGAAGGCCTTCTGGTAGTCCATATAAATGCAGTCGATGGGATCCCCTTTGTCCATTGCATATGTCCATTTTTCTAACACTTCCAATAACTGAAGAGTAGTAGACCTGCCCGATATAAAACCATACTGCTTATCTGAGAAGAGGTTGTTTTTCATCATGTGGTCTATTATATGGTCTCGCACTATAGATTCCATTGTTTTGCACACAATCGAGATAAGGCTCACTGGTCTATAGTTGCCTGCTTGGCGCTTATCTCCTTTCTTATATATTGCACTAATCTGTGCCTGCTTCCATTCCTTTGGTAGGGTTTTTTCTTCTATGGATTGGTTAAACAATATTTCTAGAGGCTTACTTATTGATGATGATGTTTCCTTCAAAAACCTTGGATGCATTTCATCTAACCCAGGGGATTTTTCTGTCTTTAGTTTCCCTAGTTTGGACTCCACATCTTCTTGTTTTATTTCTAAGTGTTGCATTTCATGGTTGATAATCTTGTCATTTAGGGTGGGTGTCTCTCCTTCCTTTTCTTTTACAAACACACTTTGGAAAAAATTTGCTAGGATTTCTGATTTTTCTAAATCGTCATCCGTTAGGGGGGATGAATTGTCCTTATAGTCTGTGTACAAGTCTCCAACTCCGTCTTTTACTTTCCCTTTTGATTTTATGTATTTCCAAATTTCCTTCGGGTTGCTTTTTGCACGCTGAGACAAGTTTTTCTCATATTCTTTCCTTTTCATTCTTGTTTTTTTTCTTACTTTGTTTCGAACTCTCCTGTATTGTTTTTGGTTTTCTGGGTTATTATTTTTCACCACTTTTTTTGCTAATCTGTTTTTCTGTTTTATCAATTCAATAGTCTCTTTATCTAAGGGAATTTCTCTCCTGTTTTTTTTGGCTGAGTTGATTCGAGCTGTTGGAACTAGTTTATCTTCAATTTCTTTTATTTTACCGTGGAAAATCTCCCAGTTTTTCTGAATTCCATTCTGTGGTTTTAACACTTCCATCCATGTCACGTTTGCTATGTCTTCATTAAGATGAAATAATAAAAACAAAACTTATTTAGTGTTATGTGGTAAGGTGGGAGAGATTTTGATATATCTTATTTAACTTTTGAGCCACGGTATCACCCTTAAAGTAAAGAATGATTGTAAGGGCCGATAACTCAAGTGAATTTTTTTTTTTGCAATGTGTGCGTGCTCGTCCGTAGGAAGCAAGCGCCTGTTTGTCTCAGATTAAACCGGCAGCAATGGCGACAGTATCGGTTTGTTCCCGTCTCGGCCTGCTCAAGAGGAGTTTAGGACTCACTGCAGGGAGATGTTCAATTGCATTCCGGAGAAATTCGTCTACAAATATAGATGAGTTCGACGAATTCCAGTTGAAATATTTAGAAGGGGACGACACAGGTAATCAGATTTTTTACAGCAGTAGTTTAGACACCTTGGACCGATAGGACATAAGGCTCAAGAGGGGTGGGGAAGTATATAAACCAGTTGATTACAAATAGGAGCGAGTACATTTGTATAACAAGATATCAGTACTGATATTACTTAAAGATAACGTCATCTCTCTTACGGAAGTGTAACCCACGACCCGGAGTGTAGCTAGCCCTTCGAACTATATACATGTAAAGATTTTATACATATTTGTTCCTGGTTCATTGCAGTCGAGTACTATTTGATAAAGTATTTATAATTTTCAATAAAGAAACCCCTCCCCCCCTCTCTCTCTCTCTCTAATGTAGCAATTATAATATCAGGATTTGAAAAGTCTGAAAGGTGACAACTTGAAATACATTGTTTTATACTGTGTAAACATGTCGACGAGGAGGTGTCTCTCTTATTATGACATAACACAGTCAAAGTTCAAAATTTCTGGGTTATCTTTGCATTCATACAGGTGAATTGTTAGTTAATAAGCTGTATTACTAGAAAATGAAACAGCATGTCCATATTTGCACAAACCTTTCACAGCAAATATATTTCATTTTTGGGCTAACAAATAACTTTAAAACACAGCATATCTGAAAGCACATATGTTGACCTTTTAATGTCTTGTTTGATCTTGATTTTCATTTTGTTTAAACTTTTTTCAGTGGCTGTAGCTGTATATAGTATTTGAGAAAGACATACAGATCTTGAATATACTTCTACATTTTGTCATACACTATGATAAATATAGACATTGGGAAATAAGTCGGCAAACTCGCAGTCTCCTACATTAAAGATATAATCTTGATAAGCCTATAGTTGCCAATATTGTTTCTGTTAACTGTTACCTGATTGGATGGCATGGTGCCTGCTCTGATTGTCACTTTCCTGATCATATTGCAATTGATGCACATTGGAATTATCTCTGTATATCAGGAATCAACTTGTGACGTGCCTAATCAGAACAGTAATATAGGTTAAACTGATCACCTAGCCACCTTATCAAGATCTAGGTGAATACGTTACAGAATTATCTAATATTTATCACTTTGCTTTGACCATTGACCCTCTCAGACTGTTCAATGGGAGCATGTAGTTGACGTTATAATCAAGATAAAATATTAATTGTCTGACCTTCCAAATAACAGAGTCAACAAGCAAAGACATGTAGATAAACAATAATATAATGCAAACTTGCATTTGTATCTTGGGTAAGAAGTGAGATAACTAACTGAAAAGTTGACTAAAAGTTCATGAATTTTGATTTGACTGTTCTTATTACATTATTTTTGCTTTTATGCATTTTCAAACAAGTCTGACGTATTAATAATTCCACTTTGACTTGCCTTGGGATACATTGTTCTGCCCCACAGCACCATATTTTGCTACGACAATAGACCCATGCCTGGAAATATGCCCATCCATGTATGTTGCAGTTTATTAAAAATATCGTCAGGTCCAACTTCGGTTCAATGTCCTGCAATACGATCATGTTTAAGTTGGTGTTCTTTCATTATTTTTAAAAAATTTATTCCCATTGATTAAAATAATTATAACTGTTATGATATCGAATATTTGAAATTTACAAAATTTGGTAATACAACAAGATAATATAACAAAAGAGGTAAAAAATCCATGATGGATACAATTTTGATTATTTGTTTATCAGTATGTATAAACTTTCAGGTATTGCTGTCTTTTCCATGAACAGACCAGAAAGGAAAAATGCACTTGGAAGGAAGTTCCTGTCTCAGGTATATATAATAGTTACTTTGTCATTCCTTCAGTCAAAAGAATACACAATAAAATCATAATAATTTGTTTTCATCTCCTGTGATTGAACTTGTCCTCCCTGGAAAAAGGAAAATGTATAGTGTGATAAAGCCCCAGGTTTCTTTTCCCCAACACTGAATTTTGGACAAAATAGTTGATAGATATCATGTGTAGGACTTGAGAGCACTGCAAAAGTAAGGAATGATATCTAAATGTAGATTTCATTAATGTTGTTTGGTATCTCTAAATGTTTGTTTTCTTTCTTTCTTTCTTTCTTTCTTTCAAAGATGTTTAAAACAAGTATATACTTCTTCATGAATAGATTGATATGTTGAGAAGTGACTTGGAGCCTGTAGGCAATATAAGAAAGGTTTTGATGGTTTGATCTCAGTTTCAATAAATACAAAATACAAATATGTACCTGGTATATACATGTACAATACTTCTGAATTCTTCATTATTGTGTTGAGGTAAAAATGAATGATATTTTCAAAAGTAAAAACATCAGTTAATTATCTGTTACAGATAGCTGATATGAACCAATGAACAATGACAGTTAGCTATGAATATATATACAGTCAAACTTTAATGAATCAAACTTCGATTGTTCAAATTTCTCGATGTATCTATTTTTTTGGGGGTTTTTTTTGGTAGTCCTTTGAACTTTAAAACATCAAAGTTTGACTGTATATATAATTGAACCAAATCAATATGTGTCTGTACCCTCTAGTTCACAATTCTCTGTATTTATTTATCTTTTTAAATGTCACAGTTCACAGAATGTATGAAGAAAGTCAAGTTTGACAAGAGCATTCGAGTAGTTATCCTTCGAAGTTTGGTGCCTGGGGTGTTCTGTGCAGGTGTGTAGGCATTTTGTTCTAGTTATGTATGTAAAGATATTTTTCAGTGTTTGGTACAATAAAATTGTGCTTTGTTAAAGAATCTTTTATCTTATCCATATTTTAAATAATTTTTTTATCTAGTTAAATTTTTGGAATCGGTGAAGTGCATTGGAAGTAATCTATGGTAGGAAAGTGTATGTTTAATACAGTGTAACCACTGTCTATCGTTTAATACAGTGCATCCACAGTCTATCGTTATGTCTTTTATCAGTAACATATGATTGTTACATAGTTCTGGTGTTCGGAGTGCAAGGATGACTCAAATCAGATATTGATTTTGTGATTTTTGTCTGATTGGCAGTTTATTGTGTCTACAGGTGCTGATCTGAAGGAACGTGCCCAGATGACTGATGCGGAGACTGGACCCTTTGTAGCTGGTCTACGGGCCTCTGTAAATGACATGGACAACCTCCCCATGCCGACAATCGCAGCCATTGATGGAGTGGCATTAGGGGGCGGTACTGAAGTGTCCCTGGCTTGCGACCTACGAGTAGCATGTACGTATCTCCTGAACACTTTCTTTAGAGTTTATAGATATCAATTTGGCTGACATTTATCAGTTTGGTTTTCCATTTTCTTCTAGAAATGAAAAATGTGTATTATATAAGTCATAGTTTTTTTACATCATAATGATCAATAGTAATCTGCTAATAGGATTGTGGTCGAAAGAACTTGATTGTCTATGTGATTTTAGGGTCACAAACCAGATGTTGACTTTATTACTACACCAAATATATTTGAATTTTTTTGTTTGGAAATTCTTATTATTTCCTTAATTCCAGACCACTTTATATTCTTTTCTGATATTTGTAGAAAAACAAAATTTTCAGTGGCAGTATATGTGTAACGTCATGTCTCAGCTGTAGACAAAATGTTGATTTTAATCACTCTTACTGACATGCTTGTTTCAATAGAGGCCAGAGCAAATATCATTAAATGTACAAATTTTGTGTATTTGTGGAGGTATAAATCTGTATATTTCAGCCACAACAGCCAAACTGGGTCTGGTGGAGACAAGACTGGCTATTATTCCAGGGGGAGGTAACTAATTGTTACAATCATATTTAAAAATTAAGAATAGAACAGGAAGCCTCAAGACCAAACTATTTTTGAAGTATTTGGTTATTACAATGTCTTTCATACAGATAATGTATGATAGTGCAATGTGTTTGGGTTTCTCTTCTTCTCCCTCTACAAGTCTACAGTAGTTAAAGTAATGCCAGACCGTATACATACTAAAGCCTGTCTGTTTATAAACTGATTTGTCAGTACTTTATGAGTAATATATCAGGCATAAATCTTGATGAACTTACAAATATTAGGGAAGTGCACGAAAAGCTTGGTGGAAGCTTGTCAGAAAGCCAAATCAGTAACTATAGGTCAGCCTATATTTCGTAAATGAACAAACTTGGTCCGACTAGTTAAATAAAAAAAATTGAAAATGGCCTTGGTTTCTGAATCAAATTGAATGGACACTACTAAAGAAATATTTGAGTTTCCATCCTCTTGAATTCACGATGAGTTTTTGTGTATCATGTAACTTAGTTATTTTTACAAACATTCATGAAAATAGTATTTTATCAGACCGATACAAAGTACAATATCTAAATCAGCAACATTTCCACTCTATATCACTTTCTGCGTTGACGTCACAATGTATATGACACCTTGAAGTTATGACGTCACAATGGAAATAATGAGAACCTTCAGCCAATTACAGTTCCACTAGGTCATATGACATATAACAAAATCATTATGTAATAGGAGTTATACTCTGCTAACAGGGAAGTTAGGTGATATAAGAAGTTGATATTACATCTGTATAATATTATATCACAGCTGTATGATATATAACACAGGCGGGACACAGAGACTGCCCAGAATCATAAATCCAGCTGTAGCTCGGGAGCTCATGTACACGGCACGTGTGGTAGATGGAAAAGAAGCTGAGAGAATTGGACTGGTGAACCACTGTGTGGAGCAGAATGAAAACGGAGATGCTGGATACCAGAGAGCACTGAAACTTGCCCAGGAAATACTACCACAGGTAATACATACCTTAGTTTTACCACAGTAAGGGAACTCTGTCACTGGTATTTGTTAACAAACAAGGAAAGATGAAAGGTTAAACGTTTCATAATGTGAGTAGGAAAACCTTGTTATATCATAAAGAGGATAGACTGTTTATTAAACACAAGAATGAAAAAGATCAGTTTTAAAATTTGAAACGGATACTATTAAAGAAGTTGCAGATGAAACCATGTCATGGATTTGTAGTTGGATGAATAAAGGGTGACCCATATCTAGATCTGTTTCATTATATAATTGATACGGTCAGTTATAACAGAAACAACTACCCAAGAGACAATATAATGTTGAATCAAGGTTTTGGCATACATTAACTTCTAACATTTTTACCACACTTTGAAAACTCAGTAACAACATTGAATTAACATTTTTTCATTTAAGGGACCAGTTGCTTTACGTATGGCTAAGATGGCAATCAGCAGAGGTACTGAGGTGAGTGTTTGACCTATCATTGTGATGAACACAACAAATATCTGATTTTAATCTGTGGAAAACAAAACTTGTTTTCTGACCTTCTTCTTCTTTCAGCTTTGTTTGGTAATGGCATGCTTTTATTTATTGTTTTGGAATCTCCTACTCAGCACCATGATTACTGTTGATCATATTGTGAATTTTTACTTCATGGGCTTATTTTGAATTTTCTTTTATCAACCATCAGTTACGATGACCTTTATGATCTGGTTCAGTTATAATTTTCTGCTCCTCTGCTGAAGCTACCATAAGGGTTGTTGCCCTTCCTAAAACATGAGAAAGTTGAGGCAGTTGTTAGAATCACCAGCAAAAATTATCAAAATCTTGCAACTTTAAATTTGCTCCACCATTTTATGGGGATGGGGGATTCAGTCTGGAAAACTGTGTACAGTGTTATCAATGTCCGACAATCACACACTTTCCTACGACATCCCTTTCTGAATCAATGTCATTTCTTGAGAACCTCTCCGCAGGTTTGATTCAATGTTCTACATCTAATTAAAGTAAGGTTATCATTGGTCAAGTTTAAGAGGTCAAAGTTTACATCTGATGACACCTGATACTTGCTGGATGGGAGTGACAACATTCATGTCTTGATAATTTTTTTCAGTTTAAATGTATTTTTGTAATTTTCTGTTCATTACTGCAGATGACATCAATCTTTCTCCTTTCATAACAACTTTATTCTGACCTTGCAGGTTGATCTTCACAGTGCTCTGTATTTTGAAGAGGCAGGATATTCACAGGTAAGCACTATTATAAATTGTGTACTCATAAATTGTCTGTACATTTATATCTCAAAATAGTACCTTTATTTTGTTTACCATCATATTTTTTCCTAACCACTGCTTTGGGCATTTGATTAATTTCATCATCTTACCAAGTCTGAGAAGACAAGTTTTAATCAAAAGATATTATAATTGAAAAAGTTTCATAACACTCTACTAATTTGTATGATCAGATTAAGTAGGATCTCAGTGACTTTATGAAACGTAAAGATAAGAGGTCATTTGGTACTGTTGGTATTACAACAGTGTTACTGTGGAAGGGATTGAACAGGAATGTGCTCACCTATCAAACCTCTCTCTCTGGAACTAAATATAATTTACTTCTTAAATATAAACCTGGTTTTAATGCCCTAGAGATAAAAAATGAGGTGGCATATTGATTTTGGTCTGTCTGTCTGGTATGTGTTTGGCATTGGTCAAAAATCCGTCAACATTTGCCAAAGTTATGGGACTTTAAAATCCTGACAGTAAAACATCTCTGTGTTTCCTTCAGTCGACTTTGATTTTTACCGTCAGATTTGAACCAGAGTTAGTTTTGAGTTTTGTTTTAATATGATCTCAAATGAGCTAGATATAACTCTGCCAATAGTTGTAAGTCTTATGGGATTTTAAAAAGTCAAAAAAGATCATTGCTTTGATTCAGTCAGATAAGTTTTTCAGTTTTATGGTAAGATTTGAACCATAATAGGTTTAATCTTTTGTATCAATAAGAAATCCAATTTAGTTCAATGTGGTAAAAATCTATGAGGATTTGCCAGAGTTACAGCACTTCAGATGATTCCTTTGTTTCTATCAAATTATTTTTTACCTTTGTTGCTGGTCTAAAACCTAATTGTCAAAGGATTTCAATATTGGACAAAATTTATCAATAGTTGCCAGAGCCAATCAGTATCTTCTACACTTTTGGAAAATGCTTTCTTATTTAGGACTTACATTCCTAGTGATCTTTCACTCTGTTGTACCACACTTGTTCACCTGCATCTTCAATATATTGCAAACTACCTTTCACCTGAATGCCCTAGCCATGATGTTGGCTTAGCCTTCATGAATGGCTTGCCTTTGGGGGCAGAACGTTTCTCAAACATATCTATTTGTTCCAGGTGATACCTACAAAGGATCGCCGGGAGGCCATGAAAGCTTTCATAGAAAAGAGGAAGCCGAAGTTTGAGGGTCATTAGTCTGGATAAGTGTTCCGAACCCTACTCCAAGTGGATAAATGATACAATTTCTACAGAAGATGGAAAATTGTTTAAAAAGTCTTTCTCGGGTGATCAGTAATAGGAATATTACTGGGAGATAAGCAGAGTTTCTTCTTTAAACAGAAGAGGTGTGTGATATTTAAATTAACCTAGAGGTTGATATGCGATTTTACTACTGAACAAAATATATGTTATCCTTGCTCTAGATGTGTTTCGAAAGATGTTTGTAGAGATTGTGAAGAGCGATGGGTCAAAATATATTCATTTTTGATAATTTCTAAAAGTGATATACAGAGTATTCTAAGTCAATGTGGGTTTTATATAATAATATTGTAAAGTGTTCCTTGTATTTGTTGCTTACTTCGGAACTATGAATAAGATGTGATCAAGGTATATAATTTAAATGCAAAATTTAATTGAAAGAAAGAAAACAATTGATTTAGACAATTTAAAGATGAGTAAATAGATTTGATTTCAATAATCATCATTTTTTTATCAGAACAAAATTATGACAATCATTTTGAAAAGATTCAGGTGTCTTTGAATTGTCTGTGTGAGCCATGTCTCTACATACCTGACATTGATTGACTGAAGATATGTATCGGATGCATTTATCATTCCAGAAAGTTTTTCATAGGTTTACAAATAACATGTAGTTGATATCATTCATGTGTGCTACTGAACCAGAGTATGAAAACAGAGTTCTATATTTTGTATATAGCCTATGATTAATATCAAAATAAAAAAAAATGTCTTCTTACATTGGTGAAAATTTGATTCTTTAATTTAATCATACATGGTTATATTTGCAAACATCTCAGTAATTTTTTGTGGTGAATTTATGAAAACATATTTCTTGAAAAGTTAAAAAAAAATTTAACCTCAGAAGACCCACAGGAAATCTGCCTCAAAGTAGGACTGACTACAGGACAATATCCCCAGCAGACCTACATGAAATTTGCCTCAAAGTAGGACTGACTATAGGACAGTATCCCCAGCAGACCTACATGAAATTTGCCTCAAAGTAGAACTGATTACAGGACGTCAACACCAGCAGTTGTCAAAACTCTCAAGATTCACAAACATTTTGAATACATGACCCCAAGTTTTCATACCATGCACATTAATTTATTCTTGAACATTCATGACAAATAAATAATCAATGTGACCACTAATTATTTCTTCAAACAAAAAAAAAAAAAAAACAAACAAACAAAAATAAATTATTAGAAAACTTAGTGTTTAGAGAAACATCCAGAACTTAGCAACTGTTGAAGTTATTGGGAACTCTGGCAAAGAGAATATTGCAAACTTTTGAAACAGGAGAAAAAAAAAGTCTACAAGACATTCATACCAATGACTCCTGCATACAAGTATATATTGTTTATATTGTTCAATGCATTTGCAGATGTCAAATGTGACTCCTAATGCTCTGCCTTTCACCAATCATCACCTTGATATAATAGGTTGACATGGTAACTATGTCACTTTGGTGTGAATATGAACCAAATCTGATGACAACAGCTACAGGACAAGACAGACATCGGTAACACTACATATTCCCACATAAAATGACAGGACATAAAGATGAAGAAATCGGCATTTATCTGATAATAGACTCTTTATTTAAATAAACACATTCTTTGTAGAGAAACAAATGTAACAAAAATAATATATAGAACTACATTTAACAGTGTTTATGTACATGGAATATTTTGACCACTGACCTCCAAAAAATATGGGGTCAAATTTGCCAAATATTCCCATCAATCTGGTCATCACATATTTTATATGTTAATTGCACTTTTTATGATAGCATTTGATTATATCAAAAAATTACTTTGATTTTGATGGGTACTGTTACAATACATTTGCATACTTCCTAGGTCAAATGTCCTACTGATACATGTATTTCAAAACAACTTTTCTGACCAAAGATACCCTATTTTAAAACTGTAATAAGTGAATGTAAATATCAGGTGCATCTTTTTGGGGTTTACAGATTTTTATTATTTTCCTTAAATTTTTCCACAATAAAAGCAAAAAGCGAGAAATCATTTTCAATAACGAGGGAAATGTATCTTGAAATATATTTCTCTGATCAATTGTTTCACAGCAGCTAGTTGTGGCCAAAAAATAGAGCTTTCAAGGCACAATTTCTACATTTCCTTGAGGGATTATTTATAGGTAACAGAGATGGACAACCATTTTAATACTTTTGATCAAACAGAATCTGTTGTTAGAAGATGACACCAAGATAAAACCAAAATTGTGCAAGGTTGATCCTTAACGTTGCAACCAACATACAAATTTATTGACACTTTTTTTCGTTAGAAATTTCACATAAAAAATAAAAGATTGGATTTAAGACACAATGTTGATATTGGCCTGTGATTGTTTAACACAAGAAGAAAAAACACTGTGCATGAAATTACAAAATGTAATGCATAAAGATGACAAGGTTATTCCAAGAGATTTCAGAGTCATTCCAAGCCACTTAAGGACAATCCATGGATGTCAACGTTAATACAGACCCTTCAGTATTCATTAGACATCACGAGTACAAATATACATTACCCCGAACTGACAAATATACAATGGTGATAAATACAATTTCAAAAACACACCAACATGCACACGTACATATATATATACACAATCAAGCACACATACACATCGACACACACACAAAATTTATATTATCAAGGCATTGATTCATTGAGCCTGTTTCAAATACGTATTGATCACGAAGACTTCAAAACACAAAAGAGTCTCCTTCAAAAAACAAGACAAATGAACTGAAAAAAAAAATTGAGTGAAAAAAATCTTCCCCTTCAATATAAAGCATTCTGTACATGAAGCACTACAAGTGATCTGTCCATCAAAATCTAAGCATTGGTACATATATAATGAAAGCAACTGACAAGATAAATTTATCTAATTTTGAGCAAAAACTGTTTGAAATTTAAGGGTGATTTCTTATAAGATGTTTATACAGGTACTAAAATATCTCTGAATTAATAGATATTTCATAACATACTTTGAAAGCCAGGGACATTTAACTAATTCGATTAAAACATTGGTATAATTTTTAGAAATAAGTTGTCTGAAATGAGGATTGTTATATTTCACTTTTATAATTACACCATTCATTTAATAAATGTATGAAATCAAGAAATAAAATGCTCTTTCCTCACTTTTTACATCAACGATAATCAAAAAGGTAGATAGGGGTAAGAAAAACAAATATGATTCATAAGTTCATCTGAATGGCATACCATCAAAATGCCCAAAGTATCCAAAATAAAAGTGTTTTGGAGAAACAAAACTTACACACTTAATTTTGTCCAGAGTTATCTCCATAAATATCAAAGGAAAAGAGAAGGATATAATGTTAATTGTAAACTGCAAAGATACAAGAAAAAAAAATAGATCACAGTTGTGTAAATTAAAATTTCAAATATACCAATAAGTACGTAGAATAGGGAACATCTTTGTATTGAGATATATATGATATGTATCATATCGAGGAAAGACACAGTGGCGGTCTGGAGATAGCTCACACTGATACAGGGTCCATGGGAACAACGTTTTGTTGGCAGCGGTCATTCTGGACTTGTGGGCATATTGACCACAGTGAAAACATTTGCTGCAGGATTACTGGTTAATATATCTATCAATATCATTAATTCATTAAACAATAGCCGTTTATCTGTACAACTCTTCCAAACTATTATAACAATCAAAGTTACTGGATATTTTAAACTTATACACAATGAGAACATAACAAAAACAAGCATATAACTTAATAATTTGTTTGGAACACTAAATTAATTTTGATTTATTTCACACAGTGAGTAAATCCCACTTTTCAAACTGGTGTCTATGGCAACACTGATTTCTGGTATGGATTACTCGTCAAGTTCATGGCATGGAAAGTTGTGATCTGAGGTCTATAGTTCCCAGTCTAGATCACTATTGTCTGGCGTTTGATAAAGTGATAAACGTAATGCTCGTTGACGTTTCTCCATGCCCATCTGAATGGCCATCATGATGTCTCGTTCATGACGTGATAAGCTACGGGAGCGACGTCTAGATCGCTGGGTGTGATGTGGAGACTGGGATCTTGATCTAACATAACGTCGTACACCACCACCCCAGACCACCTGGATGGCGTCTCGTCCATGGCTCCTACTGCGGCGTTCAAACTGTGCGGCACCATGGCTGTCTGCGCGGGTTCGTGTCTGGACATTAGGGGTAGTGATGAATTCCTTTCGATGGAAGAATTTAGGAGTAGCATCCTCTTTAGTGTTAAGCATCCAATTTCCATCCTTAGTGCTATTTTTCTTATTGTATTGATTGGTTTTATTTACACTGCCTCCCTGACTGCCTTCACCATCAACATCCATCGTTCCAAACACTCGTGTGAATCTCTCTAAGTCCGTCTCTGCTTTTTCCTGAAGTTTGTTTGATTTATTTCGATGAGGTGAGCTATTTCTTCCATGGCTGCTACTGTAAGTTTTAAAGACAATTGACAATTAATTAATAAAACATTATTGTTGATATTGGAGAATAAATAAAGCAGGAAAAATAGGATTTATTAAGTTTTAATTTAAGTGGTAGCTCAGATGTGGAAATTTGATTTAACATAATTTCAAATCAGCAGTGTTACCTTGCATAGCATAAAACAGATGTTCTGTTTACTATTTTGTTAATTACCCGGTATATTCATATATTGTTATTTTTTTCCTTTATAAAAGCTGAAATATATGTATCTGGAAGAACAGGAACTATAGTCACTGTGTGAATTTGAGTTCAAGACTGTACTACTGCTAGAGTGAAAATCGACCTGGTTGAATCAGTCACTGAAAATTTAACAGAACATGAGAAACATGTGTAGATCAATACAATGCATTATGCAATGGTTGTTGATGAAGACAATTATGTTAAATATGTAAAGAACCGTCTTGATAATCTGTAGTGAGATGAAAAGGTTTTCATAATTTTCCCAAATTCCCTTCAGTGACTTTTTTTAATAAACAAATCTCCAAGAAGTATTTTCGTCATTTATATGTCCTGTATCAATCATAACAGTATTTACCTGTCTGTTGGCTCTCTGTTTCCAGGTCTCAGACTTCCAGCTAAAAAAACAAAAACAAAAAAATGAAAAAAGTCTTTTATGATCATCATATATTTTAAATTGCACTTAGAATTCCAAGAATATAGAAAACAAAAATTTTACAAAACAGACATACATATCCTGAAAGACAATCCAGGTATATATTCTATGCCCTCTGTTTAACAAAGTATATGATATGTCACCAAACTGATTACAAACTGTTCAATGTGTAATAAACAAGTATTTCTTTCTAATTTAGGTTGTATTCTAACTTTTTTTTTTAATCATGAATATTGAGAGAATAATTTTTCAAGCAAACCTCCAGTAGAGGTGATTTCAAGATGGAGTGGTTGCTGACTTTCCAATGAATATTTTCTACAATGTAGACATCAGATAAGACCTCTTATAGAACATCTGTTATGCTTCTTTACGTAACATCAACTCAAATGTTATTTTGAAAACAAATACGACTGTTTGGAGATAAATTCATTTGTTATAATACAGACATTTGATAAGATAATCATAAAGAGAAAACGTCTAAAAATAGATCTTTTGTTTAGTGAATAAAAGCATTAGTTCCAGTATTATTTAATAAAGCGACTTTGTAAGATAACTAAATGCTGGAATAAAAATATTGCCAAACTGTACTTTTCAGATTACCTCCCTTGAACATCCTTGTATATAATAGTAGCAATGTTTAAAACAATAAGAACGGAACCTTTTGTGCTCATGCAGTTTAAAATCAAGAATTGAATTCTTGATTACTTTGTGTGCATTCTTGATTTGAAGTACTGAGTGGCTACAAGAAGTGGTTTCCTTGGATAAATAGATTCATGCATGGATTTCCATATACCAACTTTTACAGAAGCATATTGATGTTACACTATATGTTTCTGTACTCTTTACAATTGGTCCTGCTTGAAGCATGCAACATAAAATGGTTGTTCCTAACTTTCCTAACATCATGGAAGAAAGAAAGAGTATGGATGAAGCTGATGAATTCTCCCCGAAAACAACATTATTGGACACAAAATTTTAACAAAGGGCAATAACTCTGTAAATCAGGGGTCAAGATACACTTCACATTGACTGATGAATATATAATGTTTCATTATCCTAGTTCAAATGCTTTCAACGTTACCCTCCGGACACCAAATTTTAACAAAGGGCAATAGCTCTTAGAGGTTACTGGCCCTGAATTGGGTACACTGTACATGTCTTAGTATTATCAATGTATAGAGTAGGTTTCAGTTATTTAGAGATCAAGGGCCTTGAATTTGGTACATTTCATATCCCTTAAGTAAGACCAATGTAAAACACCATGCTTAATGATTTTTGCTTAACTTTGCTTATCAGTGGTACATTAATTGCTTATTACACATTTTAAACAAAGAAAATTCAGAAAACCATTGTTTTATATACATCATTAGGATTATCTCCTGAAACCTTTCACAATGCAGGTTCTTTTCAAAATTAGCTGAATTAATTGTTTTGCATTGAACTTAAATGCTTAAAACCATGATGTATAAGCTAAGGAATATTCCACCTCAATTTTTTTGGAAAACTTACCCTAAATAAAATAACACTTGCATGTTTGAGTCTATTGTGGATTAAACAGTATATATGTGTAAGTAAAATAATTGATAACATATGTATGTTAAGCTGTGTCAGTATTTTGGGTTACGAGTATCAGTCACTTAAATATGTTTTTGGTGACTAAGTATATCTATCAGTATTTGTTTCTACTTAACATTAGTGATCAGGAATTATTGCAGAGAATTGACACAAAGAGTGTAGTTATCATCTAAATATAGATCAGGTAACTGTCAGTACACAGAAAATTTGGGACATCATCTAGTTACAGCGAGTCCAAACTCAGATTTTTAAGTAATTATTTCAAATAAGAAATCGAAACTGATCATACTCCCATATAATCAAAATGGCAGATCAAGTCACTTTTCACATTTGCTTTAACCAATATATAAGGTCGTCTAAGATAGTCGAATCATGCCAATTTCTCCAATCTAGCTGACAAGATGACTAGTAAGCAATATAGAATTAAAAATTATTTTTGGAGGGGAAATTCCAATATTCCATCATTTCCTTTAATTTTTTGAAAATTACATGCAGTTTTAAGTATTTAGATAATCATTAAATAAGTATCGTTTTTTCAAACGTGAATTTTTTTGGTCAAATTTCTTATAACAATTGTAAAATGCAGAGAGATGAGCCTGACAGTTACCTACATGGTACCATAGTAATAGAGGTTTGCCTGTCTTACCACTATATAGCTGGAGTCACTGAAATGCAAAATATCAAGTTTATGTACATATTTTCTATGTACACCAGCACCCCCTAGTGAGCCATAAAGAATTCCAAGACTGCAGCCCAGTACACCTTAGTGAGCCACAAAGAATTCCAAGACTGCAGCCCAGTACACCCTAGTGAGCCACAAAGAATTCCAAGACTGCAGCCCAGTACACCCTAGTGAGCCACAAAGAGTTCCAAGACTGAAGCCCCACACCCCCTAATGAGCCACAAGGAAATCCAGTCCAGCACCATCTAGTGGCAAATTGGTAAATCCCGAATCCACAGAAAATTGTACCATGCAGTGCACCATCTAATGACAACAAGATGATCTGACAACAAGATGATCTACCAAGACCATTTATCAATACGACCATTGATGTATCAATATTGTTGGAGTGATCGTGTATTTGCAGTGGATAGTAGAAAGAGGGGTGACAATATTTTCTTACACAAGTAGAGACCAGAGTAAGAGAGAGCATCACTGAACTAGAAACTAAGCTTGTCAATGTGTACACTTATCAAATACAATTCCTGCCTATTCTTGGTTCACAAATCAGGGGCCATAATCAGTAGTGTTGTACACTTATCAAATACAATTCCTGCCTATTACTGGTTCACAAATCATCAGTATAGGGGCCATAATCAGTAGTGTTGTACACTCATCAAATACAATTCCTGCCTATTCCTGGTTCACAAATCATCAGTATAGGGGCCATAATCAGTAGTGTTGTACACTCATCAAATACAATTCCTGCCTATTCTTGGTTCACAAATCAGGGGCCATAATCAGTAGTGTTGTACACTTATCAAATACAATTCCTGCCTATTCCTGGTTCACAAATCATCAGTATAGGGGCCATAATCAGTAGTGTTGTACACTCATCAAATACAATTCCTGCCTATTACTGGTTCACAAATCATCAGTATAGGGGTCATAATCAGTAGTGTTGTACACTCATCAAATACAATTCCTGCCTATTCCTGGTTCACAAATCATCAGTATAGGGGTCATAATCAGTAGTGTTGTACACTCATCAAATACAATTCCTGCCTATTCCTGGTTCACAAATCATCAGTATAGGGGCCATAATCAGTAGTGTTGTACACTCATCAAATACAATTCCTGCCTATTCCTGGTTCACAAATCATCAGTATAGGGGTCATAATCAGTAGTGTTGTACACTCATCAAATACAAGTCCTGACTATTCCTGGTTCACAAATCATCAGTATAGGGGCCATAATCAGTAGTGTTGTACACTCATCAAATACAATTCCTGACTATTCTTGGTTCACAAATCAGGGGCCATAATCAGTAGTGTTGTCATGCAGCAAAAATGTGATAAATAAAGGTAAGTTTAAAAACATAACACACCATCACATTCACACTGCAAATCACTTTTTGGGAATACACTTGTAACTGGGACTATACCCAGTATAAAAAATGACAAATTATAAATAATTTACAAAAAAAAAAAAAAAAAAAAATTATTTCGAATTTGTTCCTCTATCAATTTAAAACAAAGGTAAATTGTTTTGTTATTGAAATTTCATTCTATTTCTTGATTGAAGTTATACCAGAGTACGGAAATGTCCAAAACAGATTGAAAAGATTTAAAAAAGACTAAGTGAAATGATTCCAAACACGATAAAAAGTGATTTGCATTTTCACAAACAATCACAAACATCAAAGGTAATTTGTTATCTGATGGTAGAGACTTAAAATCCTTTGGGTAGGGATGACGTACCATCTGAGGACTTTACACCACGACGAATACAGATCATCAGACGCTTGGTTCGGGTAAGGGAGGTAATCTGCCGCTCGGTCAGGGAGCGAATGTCAACTCCATCAATCTGGAAGAGCATGTTATGACAGCTGTGATGTCATCAATCAGATAGAACACTTCCGGCATAGACAAAATATAATTCTTAATTATGTAAATTCTATTCCCACTGATGACACAGCTTATCAACTGAATAATGCTTTGTTCAATTAATTTTTTCAATGAATCAGATTATCAGCAAAAACTGCATTCAAAAAATGAATTGATAAAAACATTTAACACTCATTTCTTCATGAATTAGACAAGTGAATAACTTCAGTGTTGTAATATTATATATTATGAAGTAAGAGTGCCTTTTTTACCTTTGTGATTAGGTCACCAGCTACTATCCCAGCCTTGTAAGCTGGCGAGTTAGCATCCACGGATCTCACCACCAAAACCTTATTCTTGTTCCTCCTGTAAAGAAAACAAGACCTTTGACTTATGATCTTAAAACAAGAAATCCTCCATTTAGCTCCCCCATTATATTAAAGTAATTTTGGTCAAAATCCCTAAAAATAAGTAGCAATGGTAATGTCTTTAAAACGAGGCAATGTGAATCAGCATAGTTCGGTGGTGGCAAATTTTTTACCTTTTTCAGGGTGGTAAATAGTTTGAATAGTTAAACTCTGTCAAACCTTGTTAAAACTTAAATATAAGTGTACCAGGTATGTAAACATATAAGGCCCATAAGGCCAATAAACTGTTAAAACTTAGATATAAGACATAAATGTTCTACATCTATCCTGTAGCGTGGTCGTCCATTCACTATCATTGACACTGATATGACTATAAAGAAGGTTACCTGTCGGCAGATCAAACGAGACAGAAAAGTTCCTAACAGGAAAACTATATTAATTACCTGTTTGTAGCACAGCCAAGTCTGCCATCGACAGAGGGGTAAACCAAAACCTCTAACTCAACGACTTGTAGATGTTCCGAAACTTTTCCTGAAACATGGCGTTACCAATGTAAGGCTGGGACATTAGTGGGAGGGTATTATTAGATGTCATTCTCATGTATGTAAATTACTCAAAGTATCGTACAGATGTTTACATAATCTATATAATAAAATCTGCCTTCAATGGTGAATAATTCAATGCAAAATGGTTGTAATGAATACACATATCACTTTTACTTCCTTCTCCCTCAGGCGGAACAATTTCTTTGCATTAATTGTTTATTTGTCAACAACGTATTATGAGTAATGAAGGAAGGAAAACACGAAGGTTCATATATAGATATGACCATATATAACATAGATACGTATGTAAAAAGGTAATTGTGAGGGACATTTTCTACCAATTAACAATACCAAATATACTGACTTATGTTATAGTTGTTGCAATACCCATATATTCTTTAATCGTCCTTCGAGACCTTTTGTATTTTTGAGTTTTTTCATGAACATTTAGGGGGAAAAGGCTAGGTCTTAAACAATGAATGGGCTTTCAGCGACGAATTTGACCATCGTTTTTCCTCAAATCTGTAGCTCAGTTTTTGTAGTATCTTTATTTTAGGAATTAAGGATAATCTAGGATTGGATCAAGATATTTAATGGTGTATGTAGATAAGCTTTACACGTAGACAAATAGACCTATATAGACTTACTTTGACTGTGGTGAGAACGGCGACGCCCACCGCTCTGAATCAACATGATGATGTTCCATGCATTTCTGATAAGTGTAACAGCCTCAGCATGTGTCAGATGTCGAAAGTCAGTGCCATTTACCTCCAGAATTGTATCTCCCAAAGCCACACCCTGTAAAAACACAACAAATTTTTATATCAATTACAAGCTAAAATCCTCACACCATAAATATATATATTCAAATGCATTCAAAATCAATTTCATTCTCTGACAGAGTTAAACTTCTTTTTTCAGAGTTCCTCAAATATGCCTACCCAAGTTTATCTAAAATTGGAGGTGGTTTATTGTGGGTAGGGTCCCTATATACAGGTAATACGATATACACACATATTAAATGTTTAACTTACCATGGGCTAATAACTGATAATAAGACAGTACATTTTTAAGTTCTTCCGAAATACCAACAAATTCTTTTACATTAATATGTTTTTGTCAATAAACCCAGCCCCTATAACTCTGCTACTTTTGAGTCAGAGATTCAAATTCTCTCTGCTTATTATAGTAAAGAGACATTTTTTTTAATTGATGCTAAACATACACACATTCCAAAATCTAAAACTTAAATATTTAATTTAACTTTTGATTTAAAACTAACTTTCATTAGGTGTTATATCTTCTGTAAAACTGGTTTTAGATACTCCTTGTTTTTGTTTTTTGTTTTTTGAAATATATACAGATATATTAAGAATGAATGGAAACCACACAATTTAATTTTTGTACTGGATGACTTGAAGAACCTGTTAAACAGGTACCAACAAACACCAGTTCACGAAAAAATGAAAGATTACACTATCGCAATCACAGGTAAAACTAAATTTTTGTGAATTTATGCTTGAATTATTCCAATGTAATAGAAACAAAGTGAAAAACTATTTCTGTAATTAACAATTTTTGTGAAATTTTTCACGACTTGATTGTTCTGGAAATGCTTCAAAATAATTTCATTTTTTTATCCATACCTGTCTAGACTTTTGCCTGAAATCAGTCAAGCATATCCATGTCTTGTTTATCTAAGCCTGGAAACCTGTGACTTTACTATAGATATTCTAACTCCATGGGTGTTCACTGTGTTTAATTAGGTGATACATATACATTAGTCCTAAACTCAAAGTAAAAATATTATAAATCAGACACACTGATATATATTCCTAAACTGGTTTTTTTCTTCTATAAACCAAGACCTACTTGTGTAGAATATTTTCATCAACATACAACTATTCTTTCTACTTAAAGCAATCTACATCTGTTTTTTTTATTTGTTTTTTTGTTAAGTTATAAGAAAGTTATGCATGCTATTACACCGAAAATTCAAATTGTCTTAGACAAATGGTCATTATAAAAAAAAACTTCGCTATCTATTGTAAAACTGCTGCAATTTAAAAGTTTGATGTTTCTTTAGTATATAATATACACATTATGTTGTAGTGTATTTGTCAGCAGAATATAAATGTGGACAGATTAGAACTGCTGATGTTATCAGAAATAAGGGTGAATTTGTAGAAAAAGCCTGTCAAAGTTCTTTACAGGTCGACCGTGAACCACAAGGTACTCTCATAAATGAAACCAGGTCACTTTTTTTACTTGTATAAACCATCTAAATGTATGTTCTTAAGGCTAATGTACCACAGTCCATTTTTCATTAAAAAATGTATAAACCTGATATAGATAAAGATAAACAAAATACTTGAAAATTTGAATAGACATCTATTTTAAAAAGTAAATCACAATTTTGAAATGAAATTTGATAGAAACAACATCACTTATCTGATTTTCACCAGATAATGAATATTGCCAGATATATTGTACTTAACTAGATAAAGATTTTTTGATGTTATAACAAATGTCAAGGTCATTCTATAATTAGCATCCTACCTGTGAAGCAGCAGGTCCTTCGGGGTCAACTACGTTGACGGAGATTTCTGTTCCATATTCTTTTCCTCCTTGTATTCCGAGCCCTAAACTGCCATCCTCTCGTCTTGCAAGAAAAATCCTTCGCACAGTGCCGTTGTTGGAAGTCTTGACAACGTTGGATGTCTTCCTTGGTTCCGTATTTCCATAGTTACCAGAACCCCACAAGAAGACATCATCCCCATTGGTATCATCAACAGGTTTCAATGATTCTTCGTCATGCTCGCTGTAAATTCCACTCGTAACACTGGTGCCATGCTGGGAATTGATATCTGTATAATTTTTATAATTATTAGAATTTACCATGAACTTTTTTTCGCTGCCGCGTGAAACTATTTGGAATTTTCCAGAGGAGTCCTGGGCAATTACACGAGGATTTTCTGCGAGTGAGTTTCCGTGAGAGTAAATCCTTAGATAAGTTTCATAATTAGCAAACTGAAGACTACAGATCCTATGGAAATCCTCTTGCAGACTACGTGGAATACGGGAACTCAATTCTACAAGAAGAAGAAGTTTTTCGGTGGTGTTGATCAATGGTTTGACCTGATGACAAAGCGTTGCAACAGATTGTGTCTGCTTAAATTGATATAAAATCTGCTTGAATTCCTCACATTCGTATTCTGATAAAAGATCATGGGCAAGGTTTCGAAGAATGACTTCCCCACGTTGATCAGAGGAGTCCATCCTGACGACAGGTTGCCGTGCTTTTCTGCGGGCCTTCTGCAGCGGCCCCCAAGTCCACTGGGTATCGTACGGCCTCCTCAACACCTGAAAATATTTAGTAGTCTGTACGTGAATACGTGATTGAGTATGCATTTTTACTTTTGATTTGCTAATGAGAGGATGAAATTGATTGAAACACACTTGAATGTGCTCAATTTCAGACTAATGCAATGTGATGGTGACACATGTCAATTACACACGCAATCAAGACACTGGTTGATTTCACACAGTCACTGCATCATTATTATATATACGTAATAAAACTCCTTTTTAATTTTCACTTTAAGAATCACAACATTACATAGAACACATCCAGCAAACCACAATGTAGCAAAGGATTCAAAGATATGAATGTTGTCACACGCAAAATTGGTTAAATTCTGTGTCAGGCATCGTAATTAACACATCTTTTTTGTATGTTCATGTACCAGCAGCCATTACGAACTATCACAATTCACCATGGTACCGTCATGTGCTAACAGTTCTCAGTGAGTTCAAATGTGAGCACAGCAACCGACCGTTTGTGCAATTTATATAAATGGCCTTTTATACGCATGTATATCGCCGTTAAGGCTGTTGAAACCAATCACATGTATCATGTTCATCAATGGCTATAAAGTTATGTTCAGCCCTAGTACAACTCTCTCCATATCATGATTGGCTGACTTTGTGCTGTGGGAAACACAATATTTCCATCACTGGAGCATGAAAGCCTTATGATGTGAGTCAGCTATTTCCTTCTCTCACTAAGATCCTAACTTATCGCTCTAATGAAGATCTCTTGGGAGACACTCTATTAGGCAATTTGTTTAATGTCATCATATCAAAATTACATTTTTCAAGCCACAAATACATTAAAAGTGAGTAATGATAGTATTTTTAAAAAAAAAACACATTTTTTAATCAATTTAAACTTTTCTATTACGATTCCTTTTCAATTGCCACTATTACACTGAAAAATACTTAAATTCAACATTGATATTTAATTTATAATCCAAACATGTCTTACATCTTATATGCAGAAGCCTCTTTGTGAACATACATATATTTTTGTATGGACTTTGCATGAGATATATATTCAAACTATGATATCATGACAAAGTTGGTTTCAATTAAGAATTCAACAGCAACAACATTACATACTAAATTACCATGATAGAAAAAAAAAACTTTGTTATATTGTTTAAATATTATCCTACACATCATATAGTTCAGATCTTCTCTCTTGTAAAATATAGCTCAGATCTTCTCTCTTGTAAAATATAGTTCTGATCTTCTCTCTTGTAAAATATAGTTCTGATCTTCTCTCTTGTAAAATATAGTTCAGATCTTCTCTCTTGTAAAATATAGCTCACATCTTTTCTCTTGTACAATATAGCTCAGATCTCTCTTGTAAAATATAGTTCAGATCTTCTCTCTTGTAAAATATAGCTCTGATCTTCTCTCTTGTAAAATATAGCTCTGATCTTCTCTCTTGTAAAATATAGTTCAGATCTTCTCTCTTGTAAAATATAGTTCAGATCTTCTCTCTTGTAAAATATAGCTCTGATCTTCTCTCTTGTAAAATATAGTTCAGATCTTCTCTCTTGTAAAATATAGCTCAGATCTTCTCTCTTGTAAAATACAGCTCTGATCTTCTCTCTTGTAAAATATAGCTCAGATCTCTTGTAAAATATAGCTCAGATCTTTTCTCTTGTAAAATATAGCTCAGATCTCTCTTGTAAAATATAGCTCAGATCTCTCTTGTAAAATATAGCTCAGATCTTCTCTCTTGTAAAATATAGCTCACATCTTTTCTCTTGTAAAATATAGCTCAGATCTCTTGTAAAATATAGCTCACATCTTTTCTCTTGTAAAATATAGTTCAGATCTTCTCTCTTGTAAAATATAGCTCTGATCTTCTCTCTTGTAAAATATAGCTCTGATCTTCTCTCTTGTAAAATATAGCTCTGATCTTCTCTCTTGTAAAATATAGCTCTCTTGTAAAATATAGCTCTGATCTTCTCTCTTGTAAAATATAGCTCTGATCTTCTCTCTTGTAAAATATAGCTCTGATCTTCTCTCTTGTAAAATATAGTTCAGATCTTCTCTCTTGTAAACTATAGCTCAGATCTTCTCGCTTGTAAAATATAGCTCTGATCTTCTCTCTTGTAAAATATAGCTCTGATCTTCTCCCTTGTAAAATATAGTTCAGATATTCTCAGTATGATATATTGGAGATCTTCTTTCTCATATAGTATATTTTTCAGGTCTTATTTCAAATATAATAGGGTTGAGATCTTTTCCCTCCTATAATACAGATCGTAAACCTCCATATGATATGGTTCTTATGATTGGTTTTCCCTATAGACTTTCTCTCTATCTGATGGAAAACACATGCTTCAGGATCATGCAGGGAAAAACCAATAGATATATTTAACAAAAACATTTTCAACAGTGTATACAACATAAGGAAACATTTGACTTAAAGGCGAGATTTAAATTTACATGGTTCCAACACTAAAGCCCTGCTTTTTCTTACTAGCTACATATCTAACTTCTATATAGTTAAATATATAATCCACATAATTAAATAACCCAAGTTACCTTTAGATAATTACAAAGTGTTATTTGAGAAATAGATTTATACATGCAGATGTGTTTTAAAATATAACAATGTAGTTTAATGACATAGATATTTGATATACATGACAGCAGTGTTAAATGTCGTAAAGGAAGACCACACAATACCATTATTCTAATTTTACAATACCCATGATACCGTTATTCTATATCAATCCAAGTCTTTTAATCTAAATCTTTTCACCGCTCGAACAAAAATAGGATAGGAATTGTGACAGTTAGGTTAGATAAGATTTAGAGTTATTTTTAATTACTCATCCAAATATCTATACCAAAGAATTTACAAATAATTCCCACACACCTTCAAAACCTTGTCCACTTATTCACACAAATTTTGATTATGGAAATATTGATTTTTTCATGCCTTTCACCTGTAATGTCATAACTTTATATTTAAGCTCTGGAATTTTCCATTCAAATTCTATTTCTATTTTCATGTTAAAATCAATTTACATCAATTAAAATCTCATCCTTTATAAGTTATGAAGCTAATCAAGCTTCAAATAAAAAGATTTCGTCCTTGCACCTCTTTAATCAGACGTACAATATCATGTGCTATTTGATATTGTATGATATACTCACAGTGTATATATGTCACACCCTTGAAGTAGCCATGCATTGTTTATACCAAACAATTTTAACACCTCACACCTAATTCAGTAATTCTTTTTATAAATCCTGATTAAATAATAAACAATTAATGTACACAATCCCTTCATGATCCTCCATAACCAAATTATGAGAAACTAGACAAATGTATTATACAACCATTTTGTAAAAAAATTGCATCTTGTGGATTTTTTTTTTTTTTTTTTTTTGTGTTTAAATTTTAGTATACATAACAGCTTGTCAATTGTTAGTTCCTGGAACTGAACACACAAAAAAGATTTTCTGGAGAGATTAGATTGATACATCCCTAAAGATAAGCAATATCTTGATTACTTTCTCTTTACATATATATAGTAACAATCAAATCTCCTCTAAGGATGTGTGTGTTAAAACAGCATGGCTTCCCTTCTAAACATTATCATCTCCCATCTAAAGCCATATTTAACAGGTTCCTGGCATATGTCAGTATTTTCTTATTGGTTTTGTATGTTTGCAGGATTTATAACAGCTAGAATCATGTCAAGGCAGGATATCTTTATAGTAAAAGGTGGCCAACCCAGTGAACAACATACAGGAGGCCATCTACATAACACAAACTGCCCCAAGTAGGGATCAAACCACACATCTTGAATTTTCAACTAAAGTCGAAGTCTAATGCTCTACAGAGTTAATTCATTTTTCGTATTCGACAAGGACACACTTTCTTCAACTTATAATTCTTTAACATACAAGTCAATCTATCATTACCGGTAAACTTGGTTGTCAGGTGGCGCAGTTGTAACGCACTAGCCTTTCACCTAGCAGTCTGGGTTGGATTCCCGGAATGCCCAACCACATGGGTTTTCCCCGGGTACTCTGGTTTCCTCCCACACTAAGACTTGTCACACGCTTTTATCCGAGCAAACAAGAGTGATTAATATAAGTTGGAAAAGCTTGCTTCACAATTGTTGTAAAATAAATACAGATTATTTATTTACGGACAAACACTATGCAACTGGACGGATTTCCTTAGGGTATCCTAATGAATCAGTTACCCAACACATCAGTACCTAGGTAAAGAAAATCAATTTTGCCATGAAATATTTATCTGTCAGGTAAAGAAGATATAAAACAGAGACTACCATGGTTGTCATGGTGAAGCACTAACGCATGACCACTTTGATGTGTACCAGGAAATCCCAAGATGACTGCGTTGGTGCCAGAATACCGGACAGATAGAAAATAGAGTGTGTTGTAGCAGTGACAGGCAATATGTCCAATACCTATTCATCTGTTGAGTTTCAACATGACACATGACTAAATATAAATGGTAATGCAGGAAAATATTATCTTTTTCTATGATATATCCTGCTCAAATACAGTACTGAAAGATCCTTTTTATATCAGATAGTCCAATTTTATTTTTCATTACACAAAATTTTGCAAGTTATCTAATGTGGAGGGGGGGGGGGAGAGGGGAAAGGACCAAATCCCTTCCCTTGCATCTTTGAAAACCCCTACTTCTGGCCCCCCAATCCTATTTTGCTGTTGCTGTTTGGATACAAATATTACGGTAATCATTTTGCACTCAAACATACACAAAAAAAGACAGTACTGTGTCCAAACCACAACGCTGCTGGAGAATTGGTTTATGTATTGGGCTACTTAAAGAATCCAGAACCAATCAGATGTTTAAAGAAAACATTTCCACTGATATTTTTGTTACAATTGATTAACTGAACTCAAGTCCCTAATGGTATTGATAATAAAATCAATCAGTTATAGTTATGTTAGAACAACTTACACAGAACATGTACACAAATTGATTATAACTTCAAGCAGGCTGTTTTCATATAACTTGGCTGTCACAGGCATTGGTGCTG